CACGCGCCTTGCGCGCAGGGCGTCGCGCGCGCCAGCGCCGCTGGCGTTTCGCGTGCCAAAACAACTGGGCATCCATATGGGCGTGGCTGAGAGCGCGGAACTCTGGAGCTCGGTCGCTGATTTCTCCGAACTGGAGATCGGGCCCGGGCCCGAGCTGGCGCTCGAGGAGGCCCCGCTGACGCAGTCCGCCCCCTGCGGCGGCGCGGCGCTCAGCGACTCGACTGCCGGCGGCGCGCGACGCGGCGCCCCCGCTGGCGGGATGCTCGGCGGCGCCGGCTGCCCGAAGGTCGAGACCCCGAGCGCGCCCCGGGCCTGCGGAAAGCGCGTCTTGACGGGCCTCGCTGGCCATGCCCACGACGCCTCCGAAAAATGGCGGCGAACGAAGGGCGCCGGCGATGTCGTCTGGTGCGCGCGCCGCGATATGACCCGCGCGCCCGAGAATAGTCGTGGGACTCCTAAATTCGCGTTCCGCGGCTGGGCGTCGGTCGCCGCGGGCTTGGAACGGCGTCGTGAATTGGACAGCTGCGACGCAGGCCGCTCGGTGGAGCAGCCAGCTGTAGCCTTTCTTTCCACCGCGTCGCAACTCCACCGCTGTGCATTGCTCGGAATCGCAGCGTGAGAAACCTTGAGAGCAGTTCATCGGCGGTCTCGTCGCGGCTCCTCGAGAACTCGAAGAGCTCGCGGGTCGCCTGAAGACGCGACTCCTCGCCCAGAGGACCGAGCTGCGTGGCGAGGTTCGCGGCGAGATAGGTCGTGGCGCCCTCGCGCGGCCGCTGACCGCGCCCCCCTTCTTTCTCTCCGCGAAGCTCACGTAGCGCGTCTGCTCGCGAGCGGCCCCATCGAGGTCGAGGGTTGCGGCGTGGAGTTGTTCGGCGCTGCCCATGCCGGTGGCGAAGCTCCAAGCGAGCAGGTCCTGCGCCCAGCGACTGACGGATGCGTGCACTTGTGCTCGGGTGACCGTAGGGGCGGCTGGCGAAAGGTGGCCCCGCCGCGACCGCCGAGGCCACCCTGTGGGCCGGCCCCACCAGGCATTATGCAGGCGAGCCAGAGGGCGGCCACGAAAAAACATGAGGATGCTGCCCCAGAGCGTCAAGATAAATATGCTCATCGACGAGACCCCACTGCGATGGGAGCTGCGGAGGCGCCTTGAAGCCCGGGCCCGCGCAGGGGCGAACGCCATGTCTAGGCTGGGGGCTGCCGCGGTCGTGCTGACATCCTCGATCGAGGCCGAGAAGGGGTGAAACTGGCGCGGTGGCCTTCAATGCTCCACTCGAATGGTGCGACGTACTCGCAAGATTAGATAGCAGCGTCGCGCACATCGCGAGGCACGGTACTAGCCCAAGGAGGAGCCTCGCCGTCATGCCCGACGCGAAGCTGCGGACAGTACCAGTGTGTTGCGATGGGTCGTAGGAGACGTAGTGGCGTTCCCATGGGCGCGTGCTCACCATCGCGCTGTGGCCTGCCAGTGCTTTTGCCGCCGCAGCTGGATCTTCAAGAAATCCGAACGATGTTGATTGCCTGTGACCGTCAAGGGCGGGTTACCCGCAAATTTGCAGAACAGCCATAAGCACCATCTGCTCCGGGATTAGAGGGTGGTACTACTGCGGATGACAAAGAAACTGCGAATGCGCATCTAAATCGTTCTCTGCGCACGTTCCGCGGATCGGCAGGGATGGATCCCAGCTTCGCTGCCCACGAGAATTGCGCGGTCGGAGGCTTCACGAGGAAAACATTGCGGCAATCAGATGTAGATAGCGGGCTTGTCCTCGTGACCGACAAAATCGTCCAGCTGAAAGGGGGCGGTGCAATATATTTGGGGCAATTGTATTACAAATGTATTGCGCCAGAAAACTGTATTGCATTGCGTTGCAACGATTACAATGAACGCGATAATGCAGCAATGCATTTGCGCACCGAAATGCGCTGCACGCCCGAATCCACTACAACCCCACAAATCTCGTGCACCATAAATATATTGCACCACCCCGTTTTCGCTGGACCCCGTCTTGGGCCAACCAGAGCTTTTCACTCATCAATATCTGTTGAATGCGCGTTGGGGCTGAAGCCGAACGGCGGCAGAGGTACTGGAGCGGGGAGGAGGCAGGAGGAAGGCGGGGGAACGGAGGAGGACAAGGCCTCCTCCCCCCGCCCACGGGGGGGCGGACGGGGAGGGCCCGCGCACCAGGAGGCCTGCCGTCCCTCTACGACGGCGGCAGATAAGGGCAGAGCCGGGCTCGGTCCAAATATCTGTCCTCACCGTCCACTGCCCCCTCCGCCTGTCCCCTCCTCCTCCCTCCGTCCTCCTGCCCCATCTCCTGCTCCTCTTTTTTCCACACACACACACACCGCACTTGCGGACATCGAGGAAAACGTGGTCTTAAGTGACATGGCCTCGGTGGGCGCAAAAAGGGGAAAAACATCGGTCTAAAGTAACTTACGTCGGACGAAAAGAACAGCTGAGGCGGCTCCTGTGGATTACCCTACAGGGTCAACGCCAAACAGGAGGTCGGAGGAGGAGGAGGAAGAAAGGGGACAGAGAGGAGGGAGAGACGCACGAGCCAATGTGCTCGATCCCACAGTCCATGCCCTCAAGTAGTGGAATGGGGCAAACTGCAAGTAAAATTAAGCTGAATGAAACTCCGCGTGCAAAGAAGAGGGAAGAGGCAGCACGAGAGACAGCGGCGGCAGCGGCGGCAGGAGAGGAGAGGAGGACAACAGCCAGGGGCGCGAAGCCGCCAGCTCTCGGCGAGCGACACCTACAGCATTCGGGGGGGAGCGAGGACGAGACAGGCAGAGGAGAGAGAGAGAGAGAGGAAGGACAGAAGCCAAGCGCGGGGCCTAGACCCACGCGGGGACGCACTCAAACCTGCACTACTCGAATGTAGGCGCACTGCTGGTCAGCGTGGTGCTGCCTGTCGTGAAGCTGACCGTGAGACCGGCCGTGGACATCGCCGCTCTAAAGCTGACGTCGGAGCTGGTGTAGGCGCTGGCGTCGGCGCCGGCGTAGGCGCAGGCGTTGATGCTGGCGTGGTTGCTGACGTCGGCGCTGCCGCAGGCGCCACCGTTGGTGCCAGCGCAGGCGCAGTCGTTGATATTGGTGATGGTGTTGGCGCCGGCACTGGCGGAGGCGTTGACGTTGGAGGTGGCATTGGTGCTGGCGTCGGTGATGGTGCAGGCGCTGGCGTTGGAGCCAGTGTAAGCGCCAGCGTAGGTGCTGGCGTCGGTGCTGGCGTCGACCCTGGTGTTGGCGCTGGCGTTGGTGCCAGCGTCGGTGCTGGCGTCGGTACTAGCGTAGGCGGTGGTCGGCACGGTCTGGACGCCCACCAGCCCAAGCTGGACGCAACAAAGTCGAACCAGGCAAGGACGTAGGCCAAGGCGTTGTTGTTACCGTCGGTGCCAGCGTCGGCGCTGGCCGACGCTCCGGCATCGGCGTTGGCGTAGGCGTAGGCGATAGAGTAGGCGTCGGTGCTGGGGCAGGAACTGTCGTTGGTGCCAGCGTGGGCGCCGGCGTCGGTGCTGGCGTCGGCGCTGGCGTCAGTACCAGTGTAGGCGGTGGTCCTAACGGTCTGGACGCCCATCAGCCACAGCTGAACGAAACAATGCCGAACCAGGAAGGGACGTAGGCCAAGGCGTTGTTGCTACCGTCGATCCTGGCGTCGGCGCTGGCGGAGGCTCCGGCGTCGGCACTGGGGCAGGCGTAGGCGTTGGAGTTGGCGTCGGTGCTGGGGCAAGAACTGTCGTTGATGCCAGCGTGGGCGCCATCGTTGGTGCTGGTCTCCGTGCAGGCGTCGGTGCTGATGCAAGCGATGGTCGTAACGGTCTGGACGCCCATCCATGAGCTGACAGTAAAGCAAATATACGAGCTGGTCGGCGTAGGAATCGGCGATCTGGTCGATGCGGGAACCGACGAGCTGGTCGGTGCGGGAGTCGCTGGGCGGGACGGCGCGGGAATCGGCGATCTGCCCGCCGGAAGGGTCAAATGTTTGACCCTTCCATTTCATGAGCCAGTCGGCGATCTGGTCGATGCGGGAGTCGACGAGCTGGTCAGCGCGGGAGTCGGCGATCTGGTTGATGCGGGAGCCGCCGAGCTGGTCGGTGCGGGAGTCGGTGAGCAGGACGGTGCGACAGTCGTTGAACGAGACGGCGCGGGAATCAGCAAGCTGGTTCAACAACTGCCGCACCGTCCAGCTCACCGACTCCCGCACCGACCAGCTCGGCGGTTCCCTTGGGCTCCTCCTTCTGCTCCTACTCTTCTCCCCCTCCTCTTCTTCCCCTTCCACTTCCCCTTCCTCCTCGTCGTCCTCCTCCTCTTTCCTCCTCCTCTTTCCTCCTCCTCCTCCTCCTCCTCCTCCTCCTCCTCCTCCTCCTCCTCCTCCTCCTCCTCCCTTCTCATCCGTCCACCATACTGACAACCCTCCTCCTGCTGTTGTTTGTTCCCCCCTTGTCCTCTCCTCATCCGCCTCCTCCTCCTTCGACTCCTGCTTCTCTCCCCCCCTTCCCCTCCTCCTTCTCCTCCTCCTCCTCGTCGTCTGGGCTCATGACCTTCAGAGCCTGGGGGAGGGGGCTCCAAAACGAGGGTAGAACAAGGACCCCAAACTCCAAGGACAGAAAATCCTGGCGGCCGGTGTTCCAACATCTGGGCCTCCGGAGACCGCATCCAGGGTAAAGGGGATTACCGCGGGGTAAAGGGAGAACGAAGAGGGGGAGAAGCGTGGAGGGTGGGAACGGAACGAGGCGAGGAAGGGGAGCGAGGGGGGAGGCTGAGAGGACGTGATGGAGTGAGGGTACGGGACGAAGGAAGGGAAGGGGGAAACTGGAGGAGAAATAAGAGGGGACCGAAGAAACGGGAGGATGACAAATGGAGGAGCAGAAGCGACGAGCAGGAGCGAGGAGCAATGAAGAAGAACCCACCCCAACTCCTCCTCGACCTCCTCCAACTCCTGCTCTTGCGCGGCCGGCGCTGCCGTGCGGCGGCGATGACGACGGCGTCCCAGGGGAGCCGCGTCGACTCCACCCGGCCCGCGCACCCGCAGCTGCCACGCGCCCGCGGCCGGCCGCGGCGCGGCCGGCGCCAGCTCGGCGTCGACCCCGCCGCCGGTGCTGTTCCTCGGTGCAGGCGGCGGCGGTGGCCGAGGAAGACGGCGACGGACTGAGTGCGAGAGGTGGGGCGACGACTAGAGGTGGGGATGATGACGGCGGCGTGGGAGGACTACGAAAAGCAAATTCACGAAAGGGAAAACGACGACGGGGAATGGCAATCATGGACGGTTACTGGTTCGCCCGGCTGACGGCCGAGACTTCAATGTTCGCAAATTGGGGTTATCGGAATAAGTCATACGCTCCCGCTCCAGGGGAATATGTGTCATGGTTTCTTTTATCACTTCTCCTAATCCACTCGGGACCGAATCAAAAACAGTTATTATGTATGCGTCTTCCTGCGCTCTTAAATTCCCCCAGCCCTCTGGGGGCGACTGGTTTTGAGCATTTCCTCTTCCATCGTCCCCTTGGTCCCCTTCGGGGATGGGTGTACCCCTCCCCCAGAACCCTCTCCCCTGGACCTGGACGGGGGGGGCGCGAGGTGTCAGGGCGTCCAAGAAAGCATCAGCGAGAAAGCGCTTGGTTTTTGGTCAAGTTCCTCCTTCTGGGGAGGGGGGAGGGGGCGATGCTAATTGAACCTCCACTTGCTGATCGAGCTTTTCCAAGAGTGCCTCAACAGGGCTCCAAGAGATGCCCAGGAAACCAAAACAAGTCCCCATAAGAGGTCCCCAGGATATCCCCAAGATGTTCCCAAAGAAAAACCCTAGGAGCTCCCCCGAGGCACCCAAGACGCTCGAAGAGGCTCCGATGCCCCCACGACGCTGGTATATTTCAAGAGGCATCCGAAGAGACTTCGAATGGCATCCAGGAAGCCTTTGGTCTTTATGCTCGCCCTCCTCCTCGTCAACATTTCAACCTGTTGGCTGGAGTCTCGATCTGACGCGACCATGCCCTCCCAGGGGCGAATGCCTTTGGGGGGATCAAACTAGGGTTGTTGTGAATAGCCCCGTGACCTTCGCCTCTTTGTCACCAGCAGCCTTTCCGGGCTCCTCTTTGCCGGCATACTTTGATGCCGCGCTGCATCCGGCAGCCTGCGCCGCCGAGCCAGAGCCACCAGCTCCAGCCCCAGGGTCGGCGTCCACCTCCACGGACACGTGCCCCCCGCTCTTGTCATGCGAGCCAGAGCCACCAACTCCAACCCCTGAGACGGGGCCAAGAGACGGGGACCCACCCTCGCCGACCCTACAGGAGAGGCTCACTCCGTAGCCGCTCCCCCTTAATTCCACCTCGTCCGTGGTGCTGCCGACGGCGGAGTCGTCGACCAGCGACTCCACTCCTCGTCCGCCAGCGACCCGAACGTGTTCTGCACCTGCACCGTGTACTCGACCTCGCGGTGCCCACCGCCAAGCTGACAACGAGGCTGAGCAGGACCACCAGTACCTGCTCCACACCGAATTTGCCATAGCACCTCACGCACTCTGAAGTGGTCCCACTCCTCGCTTGGGTAAGCAGCTGCGGCCTCGCGCCGCCACGCCCTAGTCGCGCAGGCCGCTCTCGGTGGTGTTGGGAGCCGCGGACACCCGCCCAGCCTGCAGAACTCCACCGCGCGGCACTCCTTGATCTCCGCCGCCTCCTCGAACGACACCCACTTCTCGATGCAGACGGTCCCTACCACAGGATATATCTGGGTGTCGACCGTGCGGGACGTGAACTGCGCATACTGCTCCTCCACCTTGTGCGATTTGGCGCCACCAGCGCCTCCTTCGACCTCCGTGGGATTCGACCCACGGCCCAACAGCATCGTTGTCCTCCGAGCATCGCTGCTCCACCAGGCTGGCCCCTGGAACCTCACAGATCAGGCCATGCGAGCCCTGCTGCGGTTCCGCTCCTTCCCGTGTTTGCTCCGCTTGACCTTCTTGTGGCCATACCCGTCCCAGCCCCACCGATCGCGCGGGATGGACGACGAGAGGACCCCCCGTTCGGGCTCCTTCTCATTGGCCTCCTTTTCCTTCTCGGACTTCTTCTCCTTGTTATTATTTTCTTATTGTGATTTGTGTTATCAATATTACTATCCGTAAAGGCTTCGCCCCCTGCCGCCGGCCCCCTCTCTCGGAGAATGGGCCATGGAAGAGCGAAGTCATAAGGCTTCGGCTTTGCCGTGAAGCAGTGTCGGGACCTATTTGTTTTTCGACCCGGACCCTGCCGATCTGCGTGAGGGGTGCCGCCGAATTTCAAAAATGCTGAAAATCCCATGTGTTTTTGGACCCTGACCCTACGGATCTGCGTGAGGGGTGCAACCGAATTTCAGAAATGTTTCAAATCCCATGTGTTTTTGCACCCTGACCCCGCCGATCTGCGTGATGGGATGCCACCGAATTTCAGAAATGTAGAAAATACCAATTTGCTTTTGGACCCTGACCCAGCCGATCTGCATGAGGGGTGCCACCGAATTTCAGAAATGCTGAAAATCCCATATGATTTCGGACCCTGACCCCGCCGATTTGCGTGAGGGGTGTCACCGAATTTTAGAAATGTAAGAAAATCCTAATTGTTTTTGGACCCTGACCCCGCCGATCTGCGTGAGGGGTGCCAGGAAATTTCAGAAATGTAGTAAATCCCTTATGTTTTTGAACCGTGACCCCGCCGATCTGCGTAAGGGGTGCCACCGAATCCCACCAGCCCTTTAGGCGTGAGTGGTTTAGGGAGCCCTCTCTGTTCTCAACCCCCCTTCTTCCCCTTCGGGGAGGGGTTTACCCCTCCCCCTACCCCCTCCCCCTGGGCCTGGAGAGGGGGTTCCGCGGGTCGTTGGAGGGGTCTTTTCCGACTCCTGGGAGGGCTAAAAAACGACGACCCTCACGAGGATTCTGGCCCCGACGGGGGGGGGGAGATAGGCCCCTCTCCTCTTCTTTGAAGCGAAAAGCATTGATTTTACTACGGTTTTGGCCCAATTTTGGTCTCCAGAGGGGGCCGCGCTCATCTTCCTTCATAGCAAAATCATTGATTTTACAGAGGTTTTCGGCTCGTTTTGTCCTTCTCAGGGGGCAGCGCTCTTTTGCGCTTCAGAGGAGGTCGCAAGAGGCCCCAAGATGGCCCCAAGAGGCCCCCAGGAGCCTCCCAAGAGGCCTCCAAGAGGCCCCCAAGAGGCCCCCAAGAGGCCCCAAGAGGCACCCAAGAGGCCCCCAAGAGGCCCCCAAGAGGCCCCCAGAGGCCCCACGAGGTCTCCAAGAGGCCCCCTAGAGGCCCCCAAGAGGCCCCCAAGAGGCCCCCAAGAGGCCCCAAGAGGCCCCCAAGAGGCCCCACGAGGAGCGCGAACGACTCACACCAGGACGAGGGGCCCGAACGACTCGCACCACGAAGAGCCCGAACGACTCACACCATAAGGAGGGGCCCGAACGACTCACACCAGGACGAGGCGCCCGAACGACTCACACCACGAGGAGCCCGAACGACTCACACCACGACGCGGGCCTCGAACGACTCACGACCCGAACGAGTCACACCACTCACACCACCCGAACGGAGAAGGTCACACCAGGACCCGAACGACTCACACCAGGATGAGGGGCCCGAACAACTCACACCACGAGAAGCCCGAACGACTCACACCAGGACGAAGAGCCCGAACGACTCACACCACGAAGAGCCCGAACGACTCACACCAGGAAGAAGGGCCCGAACGACTCACACCAGGACGAGAAACCCCAAACGACTCAAATCACGAGGAGCGCTTTCTCTCCCTCCTCCTCCGCCTCGTCCTTCTCCCGCTCCCCCCACAAGGAGGATGTACAAGGAGGCGGGAGGAAGGAGGAACAGGGGAGATATGCGGGGCCAAGCGGACACACGCCTGAAAAACACGACTGTCGGCATGCTTCGCAAGAGTTGCTGCTGTGAGATGGGCTGGTGGGGATACGCGAAGCGTAAAGAATTTGAAACATGCGGTAAATCCCATGTGTTTTTGAACCCTGACCCCGCCGATCTGCCTAAGTGGTGCCACCGAATTTGAAACATGCGGTAAATCCCATGTGTTTTTGAACCCTGACCCCGCCGATCTGCCTAAGGGGTGCCAGGAAATTTTAGAAATGCGGCAAATCCCGTGTGGTTTTGGGCCCTGACCCCGCCGATCTGCATGATGGGGTTCCACCGAATTTCAGACATGTGGCAAATCCCTTGTGTTTTTGTACCCTGACCCCGCCGATCTGCGTGAGGGGTGCCACCAACTTTTAGAAATGGGGCAACTCCCGTGTGTTTTTGGACCCTGACCCGCCGATCTGCGTGAGGGGTGTAAATTTTTACCCCCCCAGGAATTGTCAGAACCCTCCCGGGGGTACTAACCAGGGCGGTTTTCGGCTCCCTTCCCTCGCGCGGACAGTAACAATTTACATCAGGAAGCAGGAAGCAGAAAGCAGATCTGTAACAATGGAAACTGGAAACTGGACCTGGTGCAGGGAGCAGCAAGCTTAACCCTCGCGGCCTGATGGCCCCGCAAGGAGGCCCAGCCTGATGGCCCCGCATGGAGGCCGGCGGATTACTGTTATGTTTCTTATTTTTGCTAATACTAGTATTATCGTTGCGATCGCCCTGGGCAGGGGCCGGATTTGAAGGCGTGACCACCGCCTCCTGAGCCAACCTGCGTGCCCAACGGTTCTTCCTCTTGCCGCCCGCTATTGCCGTCACCTCCTGCGCGAGGTACTCCCTGCGCCTCGATAGCGGCCTCGGGTGACCCAGGGGGACGGCAGGGCGTCGTAATAATCGCCCTCGCCAGCGTCGAGGACTGGTGGCCATCGCTGCTTGCCGACGCTCTCCAGGTGGCGGCGACATCGGCTCCGGCTTCTCGGGCGCGCGGACCTCCAGCGCCAGGAGCGGCGCTTGAGGGGGCTGGGGCGGGCCTTGGCCGCGACCGACGCCAAGCCCTGCCCGCTGCGCGGCGGCGTCGCCAACGCCCGCGCCCCAAGCGCTACCCGAACGCCCGCGCGGACTCCCGCCCCCACGGCCGACTGCACCACCACGCTCAGGTGCTCCGAGCGCCATTTGCCATGCCATCCGATGGTTCTCGCCAACTGCGCCACTTCGAAGCATGCTGGCGAAAACGCGAGAACCCCGCCGCGCCGCGGGGTACCCTGGCTCGCGCCGAAATGGCTAAGAGGAGGAGGAGGAGGAGGAGGAGGAGGAGGAGGAGGAGGAGGAGGAGGAGGAGGAGGAGAGGAGGAGAGGAGGAGGAGGAGGAGGAGGAGGAGGAGGAGGAGGAGGGGGAGGAGGAGGAGGAGGAGGAGCAGCAGGAGGAAGAGGAGGAGGGCATACAGGTGTACCAGGCCAGCCGCCACTCCTCGGCGGAGCGCGCGCTTGCGCCACGACCAACGCCTCCCTGCCCCCCACGCCGCTCGCGGCCAGGGTGTCGTCGTCCTTCAGGACCCTGCCGCGGTGCAGCACCTGCGGCGCCCCCGCGGCTGCACGGACCGCCCCCGCCTCGCCTCCTACGCTCGGGTCGGGAGCGAATCAACTCACGTGCTGACTTTCCCGGCGCCGGAGGATGCGAGGGGCGCTGGCCCAAAATGAGCAACCTCTGCAATCGCTACAATCCCTTCCCCATGCTCGTAGCTTCGCCAAGCCGCCGCGGTAAGAAACAATGCGCAGGCTGTGAGCAGGCGCCCTGCCCATGCGTGTGAACACACATCGTGAATGCCACACGCGTTCCAATGTAGGCTCTTTCTCCTTCCCCTCTTGGTCGTGCTCCTCCCGTCCTATTCCTCCTCTCGCTGTCGGCACTCTGATGGCCGTGTGGACGTCGCCCCCACGGGGCTTTGAAGGGGAGCCTGCTCTCAAATTGGGAGGGAGGCCAGCGACAGGGTGACGGTGTGGGCTGCAACAGAGGAGCGACAGGCGAAAGGCGCGAAAGGTCATGCGAATTCTCCCTTCTTTCTCGTCTGCGTGCGATTGACCACTACATGAAACATGAAGTTACCAGCGCCATGGATTCAATCGTGCTGCCTCTCTCTAGCTGGGAGGAAGCAATTTGAGACCACGTTTGAATAGATTCTTGTCGCTGTCGAGCCGAGTCGAGTCTTCCCTCTCCCCCTCCAATGGGGTCAAGAGGCTACCCTGCAGTCTGCGGACCTGCATGGAGTCGGGGTCGATGGAGCACCCCGCTGTGGCCTCGATCTTGAAGTCCGCCACAGTGGCGGACGGGTCCACATCGACCTCGAACTCGGGGGCGCCGACGGGCTTCACTCTCAGCTTCATCGCGCGGGTGCGGGCGCGGGCGCCAGCGCGCTCGCGCGGAGTGCCCTCGCGCGGAGTGCCCTCGCGCGGGGCACGGCGGAAACTGCCTGAGCAACAAGGACGTGTACACCACCAAGGGGTAAGATGATGCGATTGATAGTTCTCCTGCCACACCGCGGGTCAACAACGAATTCCATCAGACGCGTTCGCTCCTCTTCCTCCTCACTGTTTTCCTGTTCTCTATTTCCTCTGTTTCTCCCTCTCCTCTTCCTCTGTGTCAACTGTCTTGTCATCCTCCCCCATTGCTGCTCTTTCTGCCCGTCGCCACCCCTGCCTGCCTGCGCGTGCTTCCAGCGGGCTCCCCAAAATACCTTCAGATAATTTGCCACGGGAACAACTGCCGTCTATGAACTCAACTTGCAAGGCTGGTTTGGGTAAGACGACGCGGGTTTACATGCGGATCTGCGAATTCTGGTAAAACTCCACACTTTCGCCTGGTCGGCAATGCGTCACGCTACCGGTGTTTTGAGCACGCTCCATGGATTTCGGTTTCACGCCAAGCGGCTTTCTGCATTACCATTACGACCAAATGGGTCTGATAACAATGCATATGGCTTGAAGTAAGTGACACAACAACAACAACACATGCCATACAACCCCACAACAATGTCGATCATGCACCACGTGGAAGTCCCATGCCACTCCACGGGCGCGTCGGTTACCCAACACATTGAATCACTGGAAAACTTATGCCATCCATCCAATCACTGAAAAACGTATGTCATCGGCAATATGATTGTTCCCCACATCCAAACTTAGTTTCTTGTTGCCTGTGCCCCACCCCCCCGCAATCCTCACGCACAACTCACATCGTATCGTCTCCTCCCCATGCGCCCACACTCGCCATCACCACCATCGTCATCAACACCACACCAGCTTGCTCACGACCTTGATTCAATCTGGGCCATCGGTCATCATCATCATCATCCTCATCATCATCATCATCATCATAATCATCATCATCATCATCAGGAGATTCCCCACCCGTCCTTTTACACAGAACTCTCATATATGTCATCCGCATGTGGTGACCTTGCAGACAGCACAACTCTGGGAGCACGCCGGCGTGACACACACAACAACGCACATTCCAGATCCGTGCAGCCAAGACAACTGCTTGCGGCCCGCCAAAAGCTAGGGCGGGTAGGTCGTGCACCAGTTCAGACAGGGAGGGAGGCTTGAGCGAAACGTATCGGACTCTGTGTATTCATCTCCTGCACGTTCTGAGGACAAGTCGGAGATTCCCCACCCGTCCTTTTACACAGAACTCTCATATATGTCATCCGCATGTGGTGACCTTGCAGACAGCACAACTCTGGGAGCACGCCGGCGCGACACACACAACAACGCACATTACAGATCCGTGCCGACATTCGAGGCACCAAAAGTCGCTATCGGTTCACTGCCGTCAGTGCGGCTCGGGGTCATGCACGCGGAAGGGGTACAGGCGGATGGTTTGCCGAAAGACGCGATCGAATGCAGCATCTTGAAACACATCGGCCATTCGATTCGCAAACACGTGAGGGTAAGCTGCGGCGCGAGCGGTCCAGTGAATGCCCAGGCCGTCTCGGCCCTGGAGAATCTGGTGTTTCTTTCCAGAGAACGAGCAGATGCCACGGACAGCTTTGCAACGCTTACACAATTCGTCGGCTCTCGGCAGCAGGAAGCATCTCAGCCTAGTGGGTTTAAACCACGGCGTGCCCCAACCGCAACAGTTAGTTATAATGTCGCGGGCCCCGGGCCAGCGAAAAATCTGAACGGCGGCATCCATTTTCCACATGTAGGATGACTGAGGATTCTCCCACGAAAAAGGAACCCGCATCTGTTTACAGCACTTAAAGATCGTACAGGACACCTGAAACAGTTTGTTGCCCTCGTCTACCAGGCATTGCAGATGAATCGGGAGCGAGGGGAGGCCAGAGGGAGCTTGCGACGATCTGATTGCATTATGGCCTCCTCGGGCAATGGAGAACGACTTACATGGCACACCAGCTAGCACACCGAGACATTTGTCGGACTTGATCATTCTCAAGATGCGCCTAAAGACAGCGGGCCTCAGGAGGTCACCTTGGGGCCCTTGCAGCACATCAAAAGAATGCACTCTGAAACCACGACGGCGCAACGAATTCGAGAAATGTTCTGAGCCCGAGAAGATTTCTACATAGAAATACTCGTGTCTCTTGGCGCGGGGGTCGCTCAAGCGTTGGCGGATAGCGTGGCGACGCCGAGCAGCGAGGGCAGCTCGGCCTGGAGGCAGTACGCCTTGGCTGAGGGTTCCATCTCGCTCCACACCGCCTGGATGAGCCCGCGCTTCTCGTAGCGCCTGACCGAGCTCGGCTGGCGCCAGCGGCCGCGCCGCTGGACCTCCTGCAACGAGATCCTCCCCGTGAAGCGGTCGATGGACGCACCGCTGTGTCGGGCTGTGTAGAGCACGGGCAGCAGCTTGTCCAAGTGCAGCGCGCGAGTCGCGCGCTCGAACACGTCCTTGGCCTCCGTCATGGAGAACGTCCACTGGGCGGGCCCTGGGCCAGCCGAACCAGAAGGTTGCCCAGCCACGGACGTGCCACGTCCACTGTCTCGTCCATCTCGCCAGTCTTGCTCGGTCTCTTCATGTCGTCGGGGTTGATGTGGATCGTCACCTTGGGCACGTGCGCCTGCGGAGGGATCACCTGGCCGCAGGTCAGGCGGAACGCCTCGCCAGGTCTCAGGTACGTGTCCACCATCAGGAGCCAGTGCACCGCGAGGGCGGGGCGGCCGCTGATCCTCCAGATCTGGCGCGCCACGCCCATGCAAGCCGCCCAGGGCAGCGGGCGCCGCGTCCGCGATGGCCGCAGCAGGCGCCAGCCTCGCAGCGCGCGGTAGGCGCGCGGCAGGGCCAGCTTCCCCTTGCTCTGGTAGTCGGGCACGTGCATGAAGATCGCGGCGAGGAGCTTCTCGCCCGTCGACGCGACCTTCCCCTCGAGGTACAGCTCGTCGAAGAACCTCACCACCGCGGCGTCCGCGTCGGCAGCAGGCGCAGCCAGAGACGTCAGGCGGCTGCGCCTGAGGAACAGCTCGAGCAGCCGCGTGTACTGCAGTCGGCTCCGCCGTCCCACCGCGGCAGCCTCGGTGATGGAGAGCTGGCGGGCGGTGTCCCGCGCCTGCTCCCCAGCGTCCAGGCGGCGCTGCGCAGAGCGCGGCAGCTCCCGCAGGGGGATGCTGCGCGGGGCCGCCAGCACCACCGACGGACGTCGAGTCAGAGCCTCGCGGCGGCGCAAGGCAGGCGAGCCCAGGGGGCCCGAGCTGCGGCGCGCCGGCGTCCGAGCCGCCGAGGGCTGCGGAGGGGCCTGCGCTGTCGGGCCACTCCCAGGCGCGCTGCGCTTCAGCCGCCTGGCCGACGGCGGCGCCGCCAGGCCGCGGGGCCGCAGCGGGCGCGCGGCTGCCAGTGGCGGGGCTGCGCTCGAGTCCAGGCGGGGCCGCTGGGGCCGCGGGCCAGCCGCTGTCGAGCCGACTGTCGCCCTCGGGGCCCCGCGCCGAGCTGCGGTGGTGCCGAAGCTGGCGCCCGCGCGCCGCGGCAGCGCGCCAGCTGGCCCCAGATGCAGCGCGCCCTGCAGCACCCTCGCGGGAGCGGCTGTCACCGTCGGCCGCATTGAACTCGCTGGGCACCCATCGTCGATGCATGCGGGCCCCCGAGGCGAGAGTCAAGGCGGCGCCTCGCCGCAAGATATTGAGCAGAAATATATCACGACAACGTCCTTTAGATAGTACAAGTGTGAGTGCTAGATTGTCCCCCAAGACGACGCGCCTCTTCCCCCAGGAGTCCGCGTCCGACAGGATCAGCTTCACGGCGTGTAAGTCATCCCTTGCCTCCTTGCGATGCATGGGCCCCTTGCCGAGGAGTGGCGAGTAGTGCGTGGTCGACCAGCTGGTGCGGCGGATGGTGTGCGTCGGCACTTCAGGGAATCGTTTGTTGGCGAGACCCTGGCGCAACAGAACAGACGGGTGTGCGTCGAGCTCGGCGGCCTCGGCCGCGCGTGCCGCGCGGTCGCGCGGCCGCCAACCCCCGTCCGCCTCGCGCGTGCGGCGGAACCGCCACCGCTCGTGCCAGCGACCAGCACTCTGCACCTCGGAGAGGTCCCACTCGCCCTCGACAGAGGCGTGGCCCGTCTCGCAGGCGTCAGTCATGACGACCTTGGTGGACCACTCGGCGTCGAGGTCCGAGACGAGCGTGACCAGCAAGCCGCGGAAGATCCTGAACTCGCGCCGTGCCGACGCCCAGAGGGGCCTGGCGCGCTGGTAATTCTGCTGGACGAAGGAGTAGACGGCGCTGAAGCAGCTCAAGCTCTCACGCCGACACAGCGCGGCGAACGTGCAGTGGCCGATGACGTGCTCGACGTCACGGCTGGTGACGCGGGGGCGCCGTTGAACCAAGTAGCCGAGCCCCATGCACAGCTTCCAGAACCTCCGTGGCGCCAAGGTGGCGCGGGCAGGCGATCCATGCAGCTGCCCGCCGAGCATGGTCATGCTCTCAGCGGCGTCGGTCTCGTCGTGGACGGCCAGGCCGGAGCCCTCCAGCGCCTTGGAGGCCTCACGCCTGACCCTGGTCACGGCCTCGCGGTCGGTGCCGACCACGAGCGCGCTGTCGACGCACAGCGAGTGGATGGGCTCCTCGAGCGGGCTGGGGACCGGCACAAAATCGACCGCCCGCAGCTCGGGCTTCAGGGCGTCGTGCTGGTCCAGCGTCCGCTCGTGAGCCTTCTGAACGAAGAAGAGTGCCCAGCTCCACCCCATGGGAACAACGGCAAGTTGTGGGTAAAGGCAGGCCCAGGGCGGGACACGCCGCCCGTCAAGCCTGCTGATGCCAAGCTCGCCCGCGGTGACCTTCGGCAAGCAGAGGTACGACCGCAGGTAGGCTGGCAGCTTGTGCTGGTAGAACGCGTTCTGGACGCCCACCCCCGCGCAGTAGAGGGGCGTGCCCTTCG